AAAATACAATAAATGTGAGGCTGCATTGAGCGAACCATTTGTAGTACTTCTATGAACATTGGCAACACAGTGGCCTCCTTAATAATAATCCTTGCATTTGATATAGCGCTTTTCACGTCGGGAGGACGTCCCAAAGCGCTTCACAGAACACACTGTAAAGTGAATTGACTGTATATTTGTGGGCGAACGCGGCAGCCAATTGCGCACAGCAATGTCCCACAAACAGTCGTGGATTGAAAATGACCAATTTATTATTGTTTTTGGTTTTGGAGGGATTATTATTAGGCGTGTGGAGTAAGGAAACTTGCCCAAGGTTTCGCCCTGCCTGGAATTGAACTCCTTCTCTATGTAAATAATATCATGCCAAAACCTCAGTGATACAAACCATGTTGCAGTATCTGTCTTCATTCTCAGCATCTTTTTAGGAAGTTAGTATAGGCTCTGAAGGTCGAAGATAAGAAAAGAGTCAGTGTGCTCTAAATAGAATGAAACATCTTCCTTTTTGTGAGACTGGACACTGCTTTAAACATTCATTTTGGAAGAAAAAACAAAGGAAAGGAGTGCATATTAAATGACATTATCTTGCAAGGAGCAGCGGAGTGAAGGGATTTAGGAGTGCAGATACATAGGTTTTTGAAGCTGGCAGTGCAAGTCGAAAGGGCTGTACCGAAAAGCTGATGGTGTTCTGGGTTTTATCAATAGGGGCATGGAGTACAAAACAAAAGTAATAATGCTAAGTTTGTACAAATCATTGATCAGGCTGCAGCTGGAGTATCATCACATGTTGGAACCATTTCCTGTATTTATTGATACCAGGTGATGGTACAGTTTCAAAAATGTACAGATGACAACAAAGCTCTCGGACCTGCAGTTTGATTATAACACAGCCGTGCTATAGAATGAGAGCACATAGGGTTTATGTGCTCTCACTCCGCAGCACTGTAGCACTCTTGTAGTTCCAAAAGGAAGTAAGTGCTTGAATCCCAACCCCAGTTCAAAAAAGCAAGTAAGGGATGTCTTCCAGGTTTGGGAGAAGATCTCTAAGAGAAACTCCCTAATTCTCACTCCTTCCCTGTGAGTCAGCACTTGTCTTCTTTACCGTACAATGGCAGTGTAAGCAATCCCTGAATTCTGGATTGTCTTAAATTGACCAAAGAAAATCGCAAAGGCTCATGGATTTGTTTACTTCACAAAAGCTGACTATATGACGCAAATGCATGAAGGCCAGGGACAATGGTTCTTTGCGATTTTCTTTGGTAAACTTAAAACAATCCAGAATTCTGGGATTGCTTACAGCAGAAACAAGTCACCGTTTGTAATGTGATAGGCCTTGCCACAGACAGGGGAGATTCGCTGCCATAATCAGCCCAAGTCTCGTGTGAGCAAACCTGCATTCTACTTGGCACGTGGCAAACTCCCTCCATTCACTGACTTAACATTAGTGCATTTCCACTATGTATGCATTACCTACCTAGAGGCTAGTCATGGATAAATGTGTCAGCCTGGCTCAGTTGGTAGCACTCTCGCTTCTGATTTAGATAGTTGTGGGTTCAAGCCCCATGTCTATTAATACTTTGCTGCCTAAAGGTATTTAAATAAAAAATCCAGAATATTAATGTATCCACATTTCTACTATCGAGTCCTGACTTCCTTCTCTTCATGGAAAACAAAACCCTACTCTCCCAGAACCTAACCTAACAGCACAGAAATCATCGTGTCCCTTAGAATATTTGTTCATTACATTCTTCACCTATGCCTATATCCTCTAAAATGTCCTAAGTAGAATACTTGTATGGTACAGTTCTTTGTTAGAAGAGTTAATAACGCAGCTCCGACTACTTTTGCCAGGAGTCTGTTTCACATATCCATTGCGCTGTGTGAGCAAAAAGGTTCTTTTAATCTGTGATACTGCTTGAAAATTCATGTCTTTTAGTTCTGATCTCACATTCTACGTCATCTATGCTTCTCAGCATTTTAAAGAACTGGATTGTTCATGTCCTTGATCTTTTCTCAGACAAAAACAAGCAATGCTGCATCATATGGGAACTCCCAACAGCCTTAGATGCCTTATAAAAGAACAATCTTAAGGTGCAACATTGACACCTTATACATGTCCTCAAATATCAAATGCAACTCAATTATCAGCTCTAGACCTAATGTCAGGTTTGGCAGAGATTTGTCAGTCATTTCTTATTGTGACAAACAGGCAGACGGATGCAAACACTAATTGAATGCCGTGACTTGTCAGTTAGAAGTAAATGCACATGCAAACAGATAAACAAGGGGATTAACAAGTCCTCTCAGACCTCCTTAAACACAATTGGCAGAAAACTTGAAACACAATCATTTAAGTGAGACATTGATGCACAATTTAATTCTGTTTACTAAGCAGCTATGAACTTTCTGTTCAGCTTTCTTTATATACTCTTTTCATTGCTGTGCCAAATATTGCCAATAAATGAACCACTGAATGGGAACTGACTGGAATGAAGCATCAATATCCACACACATCAAGTCTGAAACACGTTGACTGGTGCAGTCCAAGTGGAGAATGAAGTGGAGAAATAGTCCACAAAAGGGCACTTGGAATCAAGAAAATATAATCATTATATTTGAAGGTTGTCCAGTGATGCTTCACTAGATTAATATCTGGGCTAGGGGGATGAAGCTATGATCATGATTATATTCCTTAGAGCAGAGGAGATTTAGGGGTGATTTGATTTAGGTATTTTAAATAATGAAAGGAATTGATAGGTTATATAATGGGCAACCAGCAGGACCTATTACATGAGGCGAATGAAAACGAAGGAAGTAAGGGAGTTAGAACTGAGATATTTCTTCACACAGAGGGTTGTGAAGATGTAGAATGCTCTGCCTCAGAAAGCTGTAGAGGCAGCATCAATAGAGATGTTCAAAAGAGAGACTGACAGACACTTAGGTTGTAGAGGCATGATACGGCGAAGGGATGGGACATTGGGATTGAAAGATCAAGTACAGTAGTGGAATCGGCCCAATGAGCTGAATGGCCTCCTCCTATTGTCCTTATTATCAAACTGGTATCTGAAATGAAGTGAGCATTGCAAATGTCATTAGCTGTTCAAGTATATAGTTTACCCAGCAACCTGACTCATATTTGGGGTGGGTGGGTGCTGGAAGGGGAGCGGGAGGTGGGGACAGGATGTCAGTAGAGGGGCTAGAGGTGGCAGAGTGGATCCCTTCGACTTTGGAGGCCTGGGCCAGGGCCTGGTCTGCCTGGTTCAGTATTACAACGTATGTTCTTTACCAACTGACCCATTGAGGTAGCTCATCTTTTGATCAAACTGAGCTCTGAACTTTAGAATGGAAAACATTTGCGCTACATTCATTTTGTATCCAAATTCAAATTGAGGATTATTTGAGGTTGATCCACAGCGGTTATATAAGAAAATTGCTGACGTAAATATGGTATTGGGAACAGCCTAATTTGGGGGGAGTGAACCAAAAAAACACTAAATTATGTGTGTTCATGAAATCTGAAATGTGCCATTTTGTCATTATCACTTCTGTATTTCCAGAAGGAACAAATTAATTCACGTTTCACCAAGATGTTTCACCTTACAGTTTGATTTACTGCGTTAGTCGAAGCCAAGTGAACCAGTTCTGCTTTTAAAAAAATGATTGTCAAGTTATCAAAACTGAACTTATCAAGTATGAAGCTGTGAACCTGGGGGTCAGTTTATTGACATATTTAATCTACCCGGGTCAATGTCAGGCAGACACCTCTTGACACTGCTCTCACTAGTCATGACAGTGCAGTCAGCTTCTGCTTCGCAGATTCTGACCTTTGACTAATAGCTTTTGGGATACCAGCATTGACAACTTACATTTGTAAAGTGTCCTTCATGTAGGTTAATATCTAAGAGTGCTTCACAGTGGCAAGGGAAAAGGGGAGTGGGAATTGACACACATCAAAAGCACTCACGGCAACTAATGTCCTGCTAACCAAAGGTTGGAATTCATTGCTGATCTTAAAATCTAGTCTGATCATCAAAGCCATGGACCCAGCTTCACGGGCATCATCATTGAGCTACACTCTCGACATGGTAGACATTAAGTGTTTCACTAAATTGACTCCTTTTTAATGTTTACACAAATTCCTACAGTAGGAGCTCTTTGTTCCCTGTTTAATAGCTGTACATGCTATGTCCAGACTTCACGCAATGTTCAACACTGAGAGGCTTAACCTCTGAAGTACGGTGTTATAGCACAAGCACAGAAAGAGTTAAAGATATCTCCAAACAGTTAGTTACTAAAGTCCTGTTGCTGTACCAAACTTTCTGATTTGTTTGGCAAGTGCGGAGCTGATTGCCTTGAAGGTTCTGGAGAAAGTTTCTCAGTGCCGTGTTGGTTTAAAGAACAAGAGGCAGGATGTGCTGTACTATCCAGAGTTTCTTTTGCACACAGTTGCAATTTGGATGTTATTTGTTAAACTTACTAGCCGATAACATTAATAAGAAAAGATCCCACAAAGCTGGTATTGTTTCCCTGCACGTCTAGACTGAACAATGCACAGTGGCCTCTTCACGTTAAGACATTATCTTATGTGATATATCATATCTTCAAAATAAGAACAACAATAGAGCAGGAAGTGAAGGGGAGCATTTTTAAGTGAAAGTTGTGTGTAACAAACTGTGAGCACAGGTGGTGAAACGAGGAACTAACTTTGTATGAAAGGTTCGGTAAAGAGAACTCAACAAGTGGTTCGTGGGTGTAATTACATTCGTCAAGAAAATATTACCAAACTCTGGAAAAAGTAATAATAATAATTCTTACATTTAGTAGAGTGCCTTTCACGTTGGGAGCATGTCCCAAAGCGCTTCACAGGATATACTGTGAAGTAGGGTGACCATACGTCCCTGATTCCCAGGGACAGTTCCTGGATGTGTATTGTGTCCCTGGGGCCAAATCTGCCCTGTCTTGAGTTCAGAAACAAGCAAGAACAATAAAATTCTAAAACTCATCAGAGAAATACAGCTACTAATCAAACAAGCTTTTCCAGTACTGGCAGCATCAGGAATTGTGGTGAGTTAAATTTTTATATATATGTGTGTCCACAGATTCGGTTTACAAAATATGGTCACCCTGTTATATCTAAAATGTACCTTGGGAAGTACTTTCGATGTGAAAGGCGCTAAGTAAATGTAATTTTGTTGTTGTTGTATTTACAGTGTCGGAGGCCATTTGGCCCATCGCTCAGAAGAATCCTAGCTACAGTTAGAGATGGGTTGGCAGGTTGAAGCCACGTTCTGTGATCACTGGTTAGTGAAATAAGTTATTGTGATGGGTTAATTTCTCTCCCCCCTCCCTATTTGTTCATGTGATTGCCTCACAGTGAGCGTTTGCATAGTGTGATCAGCTGTTGTACAATTTGTACGCAGTGCACATATTTTTGTGAAACAAAATCTATGTCTCATTAATTGGCCGTTCATCTCATTGTTATTTTAGGAAGTTGTTGGTGTAAATTAACTGCTACATTTGCCTCCTTAACAAAATTCACTTAATTTCTAATTAATCTCATCTGTAAAGTGCTTTGAGATAAGACCTTACATAAATTTAAGTTGTGATCTAAAATGTAACTGAAGTAACTTTGCTCTTGCATTTTAGATTTACTTTACTGGAAATCTTAACAAGTTAATCCTATATGGACAAAGTATAGAAGAGCTACACTGGGTTCAGAATAGTTTCTTTAATTTGTAAAACCACGATTAAACATGAGAGTTGCCAAGAAAAGTGAGTGATTTCCATTGTATAACTCGGTTTGGCTTGTGTCCAACTGAGTAAAGTTGCTGGTGTTACACACTGGCTTTTTGGAAGCTATGATTCAGCTATAATGTTACAGTTATGATGTTATATACATGACAGGCTTTAGTTTCCTTCAGATTTTTACTTTAGAATGGAAACACAATTCTTGTATCCTCCTATGAATGACAATAACCTCCCATTATTTCAATCAACATATTTCAGCTTCTCTTTCAACTGTGATTAGCATTCTTTTAATGTTATTGAGACTGTCGATATGTATTATATCTAAAATGTTCGTAGTTATAGGTTTCAGCCTGGTAGCACTCTGGGTCAGAAATTGTAGATTCAAGTCCCAGGTCAGAACTTTAAGTTTACAGTCGAGTCTGACATTCCAGTCCAGTGCTGGGGAGAGTTACATTTGTTAGCAGTACCATCCTTTGGATAAGCTTCTCCCAGTGTCTTGGTCAACAATCCTCTAGATAAAATGTTCATTCAAATCATGGTTGTTTGTGGGACCTTTGCTCTTTACAAATTGCCTGATGCATTTTGCTGACAAAGTCATCACATTTTACGAGAAATTTGTGAAGTCCTTTGGGACATTCTTGACATTGTATATCAAACGCAAGAAGTAGTATTATTATTCCTGATTTCAAGGAAGATTGCAATTTATTTCTGGGGTTCATCCACAAACTACTCAACTTCACTTTCATGTTCTGTCAACAACAACAATAAATTGCATTTAAATAGGGCCTTTCTCATCATTAGGATGTCCCAAAGAGCTGAAAAATGAGAGGTTTGCACCTGAGCTATGGGTTGAGATCAGAGAGGAGTGGAGGGCAAGGGAAGTGGAGGAGGGAAGATAACCAAAGACATGGTCGAAAAGGTAAGTCTTGAAATGGGATGTGAAGGAGGCAAGAGAGGGGGCAATATAAAAGAGCTCAGGGATGGAGTTCCAGAGGATGGGGGTAGAAAGGCTAAAGGCAACAGTGAATAGGCAGGGCGAGGTACATGGAGCAGGCATGTGCCTGCAGAGCAGAGGGTGCGGACAGGTTGGTGAAAGTTTAATAGGTCACAGAGGTAGGAAAGAGCGAGACCGTGGTGGGCTTTAAAGGTGAGGACAAGGATCTGGAACTCGATCCTCTATCACCTCCTTCAGTAGAGCCTCAGTCTTGTGTGAACAGGTTGTAGCTCTGTGCGAGATCTCAGAATGCTGCAAGGCTGAGGGGAACCTACCTAAGTTGCGTTCATCGACTTCCGCAAGGCTTTCGACCTAGTGCCTCATGAGGCCTCATGGTGAAACTGTTAACCCTGCAAGCCAAAGCTCCAAACAGTAAGGTGATGGTAGCTGGACAAGCAGCGGGAAAGCTTGCCGGACAGCAATATCAATGACAAGCTATGCGATTTTAGCTGGTTAGACTCCAGCAGAACCCAGCGCACACTCTGGGGTCCCCAAGCCTTGGCTCTTGCCAACCTGCGTCTAATACTTTCTGGAATTAGGTAAGGAGGATGTGTCCCTCCAGGGAGAGGGTGCACATTCCATTCCAACAATCTATCTCTGGGATTTCTAATGGTTAGGTGGGATGCACGGAATTCTCAGTTTGGTTTTCATACTTTTAAGCATGGTGATAGGTTTCTGCATGTGTCAGACACTTGGCTGTCAGAATATTATTTCTTCTGACCATAGTTCTAACTATTGTGCTTCGTTGGAGTGTTGCCCAGGAAGATGGTCTGCCCCAGATTGTTTTCCTGGCAGACAGGAAATTACATTGCAACCACATTTTTAAAATAAAAATACCATTGACGTTAAGAAAAGAAATGTAATATTCCTTATGTTTTATTTTTGTGTATCTGTGATACAGGGTACACTTAATGCAGCATAAAACAATGTTAACATCAGCATGACCGGTGAACTCTTGTGAAACCAGAATTCAGATAGAGTTATTCTTTAAGATACCTCCTTTAGGATAAGGACCCAGCTGTGCTCCAGTAGATTCAAAAGCAAAACCTTTTCCCTATCTTGGCTCTGGTTTTAAAACAAATCCAAGTACCCTGCTGCACATCTTATGTAAAGGAGTGTTAGGTTATAATTGGTGTTAAAAGCAGCAACATCTTAATGCTGCAAATCTATCATCAGCAATCTGGCAATTAAAAATATGCAATGTACACTAATTTGTGTTATTTCCCACCAATGAACTGTGGATTATCACTTGACAAGCTCATAGTCATTACATAACAAATTCAGTCTTCCAGCGTGATTGTAGCCAACACAAAGTGCAAAGCTCATCTGCACACATTGTCACATCCACTGTTGCCAAACATTGCCAAACAAACTGACTGAACCTGGTAAAACCTCTCCAATGAATGAATGAATAGTTGGCATTGATGCAATATCAGATCATCATTGTAAACTTCACAAACTTTATTTATTTGTTTAAATGCAAGTTGTTGTTTTTGTAAACTTCCCTTGGCAATTCATGCCTCATTGAGCAGATCACCTTTTAACTAGTGATGTTGATAATTCTCCAGAAACATTTCTATTAAAACAACCGTGAGTAGTCTAAAAACTCTTGTAGTTAGAAATTCCGTGGCATTTCTCTATCGGCAAAATAATTCAAAAGTAATGGAGTTTGTGGAAAACATTGAAGTCATATTTTGAGAAAATATATTGAATTCCGTAAAATTACTTGCTGCATAAAGTATCAAAATTGCTATGAGAGTTCAATCTGGGCCTGCTCTTGATTTCACCTGAGGTAGGCAGCGATTCAAAGGTAATGCAAAACGTTGAGCATTTTGCATGTTTTTCTTGCATTCCTGGGACATATAAATATGATTAGTAGGATCAGGTATATAGTACCAAACATGAGCACCAACAGGAGTAGAACAAACAATCGGAAAAATGTTCAACAATGCTTGTCTAAGGTAAGTGCTTGCTAGCAGGACTTTACTAGGTATCTGTAATGTGGGAGATTATCCACCTAAATGTGTGCTTGTCTCTCAGATAATGCTGACCCAAAAGTGTTTTAATATACTGGAGATAATGAGCATTTGTGAGTTGAAGTGGTCTTTCCACACACCAGACTTGTCTTTCTTTCTCATGATCTGTTCAACAATAGGAATGGAAAGTGTTTGTCACTTTTGTGTTGATCAAGATGTGGGAGAGAAAAAAGAGTCGTACAAACAATTGGAAGAAAAAAGTGCAAGAAAAAATATATAAGAGATAGAGCGAGAGAACGACGGGCTGGCAAGGTGCAGTACGACAGTAATTGTGTAAGTTCTGATGAAACAATATTTTGGTTGGCACTGTAGCTAATTTGCATTTTATGTGACATCCAATTATCCACATTGTTTGCTTATCCACAATAGGATGAGTCCCAAATAGTATGGTGAACAGTTCTGTATTTGCTAGGTTAGGAGGTGATTGAATCTAATTTATGTTCTCTCTTTGTGGGAAGTGCACAGCCTCTGTCCTACACCTCTCTCTGCCTGCTGTACAGTTGAAACAAACAATTTATTATGTGAGGAATTGGGAACCACAACACTTGTATTATGTTGTATAAGAATAATAATAGAAATAAGAGTAATCCTTGCATTTGGTAGAGTACCTTATCACATTGTCAAGACATCTCAAAGCACTTCAAAGAATTTACTCTAAAGGGTATTGACTGTTTATTTTGTATGTGAACACAGCAGCTCATTTGCACAAAGCATTGTCCCATAAACAGCCAATAAAGTGAACGACCAATATTATCTGGGAGATTAATGACCAGGACAAACTCCCTTCTCTTTTACAATAGTATAATGGATCTTTAATATGCTGAACAGGCAGACATGACATGACCTATGTATAATATATCATCCAAAGGGCGGCACCTCTGGAAATGCAATGTTCCCTCAGTGCTGCACTATAAGACTCAATGTCCTGACATGGGACTTGAACCCACAAGAGACAAGAGTACTACAAACTGAGCCAGGCTGAAAAACATACATTCCTCAGTCAGTACAAGTATTCACTGACCTGTATCTGAGACAGTCAGAACACAGGATTGTCAGTGATTTGACTGCTTCCCACTTGCCTGAAGCCCTCCCATTGGTATCACATTTAAACATCTTTGTATAACTTAATTTTATTGAAACTGTTTAAAAAGTCATTACAAAATTCTGTGTGTGTATATTAACTTGCTGTTCACGTTTTATTCTCCCACAGAGATGAAAGGTAAGGGAGTACGCAAGAGACATGAAAGGCGGAGGGAAGGCTTTACAAGACACAGGAGGTAGTCTGAAATTTCATCCAATTTTAACCCATGAGACCATTTTGCCTTACAATTTGAAATCATGCAGAATTGTAGAAAAATTTAGAAAATCTTCTAAATTTGGAAGCTGGCTTCTTTTTAAAAAATGTGGAAAAACTGAGATCCAAATTGAGACCAAATTTATGAATTTTCCACAATTCTTCACGAGCTTCAATTTTAAGACAAAATGGTCTCAAAGGATGAAGCAAGGTGGAATTTGGGGATTCAGAGAGGATGGAAAGAACCTAAGAGGGATGAAGAAGGAGACTTTCATACATTCACTAAGTGACTTTACCCTTCTGAAAGGCCGATGCTTTGTGATAAATATTAATTTGCACCATTAATCTTGTGATGGATGTCGCTCCTCTTGCCCTCTATTGTGACTGATCAGAAATGTCTGTATCTTAAGGTGAGAGAGATAGGAAGGAAACACTGTAATATTCATCTGGGTTTTTGATGTGCCAAGAATTTTCCAGAAATATCAATCAAATTTTTTCATAATTCCTTTAATTTTAAGAAAGTGGTCTTGAAGCTAAGAACATTTGCCCCCATCCCCCCCTTCGCCACCACACCTGTTGGTATGCTGGTAGTGAATATTTGTGAACTTTGCCATTCGTCCAACAAAATCAAATCTTTGTGTCCACACATTTATAACTTACTATGATTTTCAGTGCCAAAATAATGTTGGTGACATCAGGAACACTTGAAAAAAATGAGTTGCTTGAGGTAAGGCGGATTTGGCTACCAGCTTCCTTCTCCCGCAGGTGTAAATTTAGCAGCATTCAATTGATGCCACAGCTTCTTAGGGAGGGGCAGCATAGTCCATTGATGCATTCATATACTCTGCTACAATTTCACCATATGGTTTTGTTTTCCACACTATAGGGTATGTCTAGTTCTCGCCAGTCATATTAAATGCCTTGCAATTTGAAATAAACATATAAAGGGTAAGGATTGTAAACTTATACACCCAGTATTTGCAAATTATAATACTAAAAATACTGCGTGGAAAGTTTTGTGATATTAAGATGAAATTTGTGGTGTCTCATTATTACATTTGATGTGATCACATTGAACCACAAAACCGTTCAAATCAACAACATAGCAGGAAGCCATTTGACCATTCGTATTAGCGTCAGTGTTTTCTCTTCCAAAAAATGACAACCATCCCAATCCTGATTCCCTGCTCTTTTGTTTTAGCTTCTAGTACTCTTCCTCTACAGTTGATTGTGCAATTCCGTTTTAACTTCTCTTTTAAATTCCACAAGTAAGTTTGTTCTAAGCAAAACCATTTTAGCAGAATAAAGTTCTGCTGTGATCTAGGTTTGCAAACACAAAACAATAAACTTTTGTTGAAAGTTGATCCCCTTTCGTTGGCTCTATTTAATTGGTCCTTATTTTCTTAAAGGGTATCTAACACCCCACAGTCTTAAATTAATGAGTTTATTCAACTATGCAATTCGATAGGTGCTACTTTAACTTAAGATCTAGTCTAGTCTCCTGGCTCTTGTGTTCTGAGAGCACCTTTAGAACTGCACATGTATCAGAGCCATTATCAATGACCTGCCACACAGGAGTGACACATGCATTGAGATATGAGCTACATTTCCTCTCCTCGCTCAGAATATAAGTGACAAGAATTATAAAACTAGTTTTTTATTAAAAATACAATGCAGTAACATTTACATTTATATAGTTACTTTCACATCAGAAGGACATCTCAAAGAGCTTCACACTGTTGGATGAGCACCTGAGCTGGGAGTGGGAGCCGAGAGGGTGGGGAGGGATAAGAAGGTCAAAGAAGATTGCTTTGAGAAGAAGCTCAGGCATGTTTGGGGGTGGGGAGCTTACAAGAGAAATGTAGGATACAAGCTAGATGTTAAACTGGAGCCCTGTCTGCCTGTTGCGGTGGATACTAAAGATTCCATGGCAAAAGAGAAGGGAGTTTTTTCCCAGTGTTTTGGCCAGTCTACTAGATTAAACAACAAATGGTCAGTTGCTTCATGGCTGTTTGTGACACACTGTTGAGAAACGCTTTGAGACATAAGTAAGGCACTATATCAAATGTAAAGATTATTATTGTTTCACCAAATAATTGCAAGTTTTCCCAGAACAATCTAGCTTGTGATATTGTAAGGATTCTTGTTGGAATTCCCATTGATCTGCAGAGGCTTCCTGCTCTGGAAATAGATTGTGTCAGAGCAGAGCTTCTACAGGTCAATAACATTATTATTGGAAGGAGGCCTTACTTGAGTATTTCCTTATGAATGAATCCTATTAAGAAAACCTACAGATCACACTCCCATTAATATCAACTGCAAAGCGACTCTCTCTAACAGACTTGAAATGAGAATCACGCTGCAGTGTAAAAGATAACAAAACCTTCTTTGAACAAAGATGGCAATGGAATTCCTTCCCCTTCTGCATTTTCTCCAGCTCCATTCCCCCTACCCACCCATCCACATCCTGACCTAATTTCTCTGTTGAGGTTATATAAGGACATGGGCAAAAGGCTCCACAGAGTTCCTCTCTGTGATCAGGAAAACAGCTCAGCAGGATAATTTCAGTAGAGTGTGCGCTACTCTGGTTCAATCTTTCAAAGCTCTTGTTTCTCTCAAAGTTAGTGGCGACCAGGCACCTCCCACAAGAGGAAGGGAATAACAGTGGAAAAGTTCCACAATTTACCTTAAGAAAGTGAAAAAAACAAAGTTCTTACCTCTCCTAAAAAGCATTTGTATGAATTTGGGGATTAGCCAGTCAACCTATATTTTGCCCCCCATGTTACGTTCTCAACAATCAATTTGTAGAAAATGTCCTTATTCTCAGCTCACTGGTTACAAATCCAACCCAAAGCCCTCTAGTCATTTCTTCCTGCTTTTCTACCCCCTGATCCCCTTTTGTTGGTTCTATTTAATTGGTCCTTATTTTCTTAAAGGGCATCTAACACCCCACGGTCTTAAATTAATGAGTTTATTCAGAAATTCGTTGTTCAAAATAGCCCTGTGGATTTCAGATTTTATAGCTGCACAGAATGGGCTGGAGTCCCAGAACCACATCCAAAACAGTAACCAGATTTCAGTGATATGAAACATGCATCTATTTTAACAGCACAGTCAAAGTCAAGTCAACATAACTTTGACTGAAAAATGATGACCTTCCAAAACAATAGTAAAGCAAACTCTTTGGCAAGTTGTGGTCAAGTGAATGCAAAAGTGAACCCTCAACAATTATCTCGAATGTTATTCAGCCAACAAGCTTGGATGGGAATGTGAGTGCGTAATAGTTTAGATATAATGCCAAAAATGGGTATATACAGTAATACATTATTGCCTTTTACCCTTTTTAATGGCTACAGCTACAGCTAGAGCAGTATTTCATTGCTTTTTTTTTACCCAGGTACTTTTTTGCATGGTGTGGCTCACAGGAGGAATGAAATTGAGAGGTGGAACAAAAGTTACCAACAACAGCAACAAAATTACATTTGTATAGCGCCTTTCACATCACCTGGCTAAACAAATTTGGCAAACTGGAATGAATTTGAAAACTAGTTTTTACAGACAAACTCCAGCTTCCCCTGGAGGATGAGTTCTGGCAGTCAGTCTCACTGAGGGAAAAATCCCTCCCTGCACCAGCCAAGCACACCTCTCGGGAGTTTGTTTGAGTTCACAACATTAATGACAACTGTGGAATTCCTTCTAGCTTCACTGAATCTTAGACCTCAGACCAATCCTCCGACTGAAGACATGAAGGCCGGGTGGAGGAGAGGGAAACAGTTGCATGCAATGGTCGGGATTTTACTGTGATCAGTTCATACAGTGACTAACACAGGCAGAGATCAGGCACCTTCCCTCCAAAGCTATTTTTCACCAGTAGTAGTAGGACTATTTTAAGATTTAATTTTCTTACTGGAGCAATTGAGCTGTTTAAGCATTTGAAATATGTAGAATTGACATAAATGGGATGGAATTCTACCTTGGCACAAGGTTGTCTACTTGGCTCAGTCTGTAGGATTCTAGCCTCCGGGTTGGAGGAGGATGGGATCAACTCCCATGTTGGGACTTGAGTTGATAGTTTAAGTTGCAGTGCAGTACTGGAGGAATGCTATTGTATGTTACAGGACACTGTTTAGGTATCTTGGCCAGTAATTCTTGAGATTAAAAGGTCACTCACCTCATAGCTGTTTGTGGAACTTTGCTGACTGATGGTTTTGCCTACAGTACAGTTGCTACACTTGGCAGTCGTAGGAACATATGAACAGAACCAGGCCATTCAGCCCCTCAGTTATAAAATTAGTTTATAATTTATATTTTTAGAATTATAAAATTATAAAAATTCAGCCCCTCATTTATAACTTTATAAAAATAGTCATTGTCTCTGAAGTGTTTTGAGAGATTTTGATGTTATAAACATTGAGATGTCTAGAAAATGTGAAAAGCGCTGTATCAAATGCAAGGATTATTATTATTATTAAACAGTTGTATCAAATGCAATCCTATACCAATAAATGCTTGAAGACTGAAATTTCAACTAGACTTAAGCTGTGAAACAATTTTGCTTTAAATTTAACATGATGCATAATCGTAGAGAATTCTTAATTTGGAAGCTTTTTTTTCAAGAACTTGTGGAAAATCGGCTTAAAAATTAAGATAGAATTTAAGGACGTTTGCACAATTTTGTGCAATCTTACATTTTAAGACAAAGAGTCTTGCGGTCTACAAATACGTGGAATATCAAGGCCTCTGATCCTAGGCATGTGGATGAGGAAACTACTTTTTAACCAATGATTTCCACAAATTGTAAAAATCAGGAAAACCAGCAGCTGTAAGTTCCTTTATTAAGTCCATACAAACAATAAGCCATTGCTAATAATGGATGACAGGTGAAATCTGTTTTTATTGGTGTGAGTCTGGAAAGTCATTGGAAAATGGGGCCATTACAATAACAGAAATTACTGCTGTTACAGCAGAA